CCCGAGGGCCAGACATGCTCTCAGCACCTTTGTAAGGGGCCCGATAACCTGCTCCAGCCCTCTCTGAAGGAGAGTCGGGAACACCTGATCGGGCCCCGCCGACTTAAAAGGTCGGAAAGAGCCAATCGCCCATCTGACCCTAGTTGGCCTTACAATTTCGGCCGCTAGTTTTCAATCGCTGGCACGTGCCCTGAAGGGGCCCATGTCAGCCTCTCCGCACCTATCCACATTCCTCCGGAAACCAAGGAAACTAGTCTCCAGAAGATGCACCAGGCACTTCTCTCCAGATACCATGGTGCCGTCTGACATTCGGACCGCTTCCAACGCTGCCTCCGGGTTCTTGGATAGAAATCTGCAAAGCCTGGTGGTGGCTGGCATGCCCTCCACCGACTCGCAGAAGTCCCTCCAGCTCTTCCTCTTCGCCTCCACCACAGAGTCTCTGTACTCCTTCTGGGATCTCTTGTAAAGATCCCAGTCAGAGGGTCGGCCCGTGTTCCTCGCCTTGTTCCAAGCCCTCCGAGCCTTGACCCTAAGATCCTGCAGTCGTGGGTTCCACCAGGGAGTTCCCCTATTGTTTGTCATCGTGCTGGCCGGGCAGTTCGCTTCGTAAGAGCCAATCAGAGCCCTCTGCAGATAATCCACACAGAGTTCTAACTCCTCCACCGTGCCGTACTTCTTGGGAAAGTCCCTGAGGTTGATTCCCAGGTCCCTCTGATAGGATATCCAGTCCGTCCTCTTTGGATTCCTCACCTTCTTTACCTCCACTTTGAGGTCTGAAAGTCTAAAGGTTATTTGCCTGTGGTCGGAGAGCGAGGGCTCATTCGACACCTTCCATTCCCTCACCTTTCGCACGAATCCACGCGAGCAGAGAGTGAGATCTAACGCCTCACTTCTCCCCGCCGTGCAAAAGGTGGGTTTATTACCTCTGTTCAGAACTTCCAGGTCAGTAGTTACCAGGTACTACAGCAACCTCCTTCCCCTTTCGTTCATTCCAGTGCTTCCCCATATGGTATGATGCGCGTTGGCGTCGCATCCTATCAGTAATGGCAATCCCTCCCTCTGGCAGAGATCCACCAATCTGACTATCTCCAGCGACGGCACTTCTTCTCCGTGCGGGAAGTAGGCAGAGCAGATGACAAGCTTCCTGGCATCCCCAGCGCTGTTAACCGCTGTCACCTCCACTGCCGTCAGGTCCCTGGAACATACTTCAGGCAGGAGCCGTGCACCTAGCCCCTTAACCGTTATGCACGCTCTAGGCCTCTGTTCGGTGGGAACTTTAAAAAGCTTCCCACATGCTGCCACCCCCCTGACACATCCACGGACAACCCATGGTTCTTGTATCAAGGAAATGGCTGTGTGCATCACAGACTGGCTCCTGGCTAGAACCGCCGAGGCTCCTTTGCTGTGATGCAGGTTAATCTGGGTAACCCCTATCACCGACCAGCCCATTATACAAGCTAGTCTTTAGATTGGGGCTCCTCCTTGCTCCCCCCCTCATCATGAGATCGAGTCACCTTAACGGTGATCTGCTCGATCCCATAGCATAGCTTGGAGTCCCGCCCCCTCAATTTGAGGACGCTGGACTCCAAGATGCCGAAAACATAGTTCTTCCCCTCCGGGGAAGCACTCACGTTTTCGGCAAAGACGCGCCAGTTCAGAGCGCCGATGCCTGGATTCTGCCTCTCCAACAGCGCCAGGACGGCAGCCGCAGGCCTCGGAGGACCCAGACTACCGCCCTATGCCGCCTCTGAAGCTCATCCAAGCCCACCACTCTGAGCTTGGCGCCCTCCCACGGCACCATGCCCCCCACCCGGCCTGCCAGCCAGTTAAGGGATGCCGCGTCCTCTCCTCTAATGATGACTGCCCCATTCTTGAGGGTAGCCGGTCCCACGAATCTGGGCAGGGGACCCTCCTGGATCCCCTCCATCTCCGCCAGAACCGCTCCCCTGAACAAGGTCAGCTGCTCCGGAGTGATCCCCCTCTCAGGGTACCCCCCCAGAACAACCGCCCTTGCCAACGGGTCAGCCATCGCTGCGAAGGTCCCAGTTTCCTGAGCCCTAGGCTTCTTTACCATTTTCTTAACCGAGGGGGGAGTTTGATCAGAGCCCGCGCGGCGCTTTTTACCGGTGAGCCCTGTTGCCCCCTCCCCCAGCGTAGTAAGGGCCGTCGAGGGACCCGGAGTTTGCCCTTCAGGAGCCTTCTCCTTGTCCCTCTTTGCCCTTCTCTTCTGGGCCCCGCTACGGTTCCTCTTATGAGGTGCCCGCGCATCACCCGCATCACTTCCGTTTCTTTCCGAGCCCGAAGGGGCCCGTTCCAAAACAGGAGCCATTTCTACCTCTGCTGCGACCACCTCGCTTTCCGAGCCCTTGCAGGCCTGTACTTGCGGCGCGATCGTAGCAGTTCCCGCCGAGTGCCCTTTCGAGCCCTCGGTTACCTCTTGTATGTTTAATTTCTTAAAATCTTCCATGCGAGTCCCACGAGTAGCTAGGGAACGACTATGTCCACCCACGCAGAGCCCCGCATGGGCTAGATACGCTGGGGTTTCGCCCGGTGCCCCAGAGGCATCGATCACGACATTGCTCCCCCAGTGCCACGCAGCCTTCACCTCGATGGCTTCCAGCTTGGCTTGGGGGGCTGGTCCACGGCAACGGTCTTCCCGAACCCACGCAGGGCTTTACACCTGGAGGTCCGTTTATAACCGTCACTACCCGGAGGTACCTCCAGTCACACACGGGGTTTTACACCCGAGAGACCGGGCACCCCTCCGGGCGTCCTCCTATCCGCCACCTGGAGACGCGCTCGATAGGTAGCCCAACCCACGGGCTAAAATCTGTGGCACTAAAAAGTGTACCACGGGTGAAAGAGTGAAATGGCCTATACTTCTCTCTCACTTGCAGAATTTCGCTAGGAAATGGCGGACTCGCCTGATGGCCAGTCTCTGTTAGAGGGTCTCTAGAGCTTTGTAGTCTCAAGCGCTGTGAGTGGCTCGTGTCTTGAGCTGTTGTTGTCACGTCTTGTCAGTCGGTGTCGCTCGTACACAGTAATAAGTCCTTCTGACGAAAAATTTTTTATCATTTTACAATTTTCATTAGTACTAGCTAATAACTAAAAAGTGACTCACTGTGTCTGATACCGACTGGTCAACATATCAGGAACCGATTCTTGAATTATTCATGATATTGTTTGTGATACGGTACTCTGTAATTGTGGTGAGCGTCCCTATTTTCGGTTAGTTTTTCGATAAATTAGTTCCTATATTCTTTAATTTGACATTTTTAATATTTTCCTTCTTTTTAATTTTCTTTTCTTTGTTTTTATTTAATTCTGGCATTTAAATTCTCGATGTAGGGGAGCTCACCATGATAGGATAACTTTTACTTTATATATGTCAATGTGTGTTTGCTCTGAGGAAGGCTCAAAATTGAGTCGAAACATGTAAGCGGGTTTAGTGAATAAAGAAGTTTCATTCTTTATAAGTGTATTATTTACGCGACGTCTTCTGCGCCCGACTCCTAGTGCCCTTACTCTTTCCAATTCTTTAAAGTATTTAAACAAGGGAGGTACTTGAATATGATAATGATTCTTCTCGATCTTCAAAATGGAGAAGAATCAATGATATATGGCATATCTATTGTTATGATGAAACTCAACAGGCTTTTTTAACGGGTTTACGTACTAACGGAAACTCCCAGTTAGCAAATGAAATTAATAAACTACTGTCTTCGAATAATGAAGAATTATATGACAAAGAAATATACGAAGAACCAACTGAAAATAGCAAAGAACATGATGTTTTGGCTTTAATCCAAGATACGAAATTAACCAAATATCAATATGAAACACTTCGTTCTTACACTCTATCAAAAAATGTTAACATTTTTCCTTCTTACAAAAAATTATCCGAAGGAAAGATACTGTGTTATCCATTACAATCAGCATTAAAGATTGAAGAAAAAGGTGCAGAAATAGATTTGCAACATTTACTTGATCATACCATTAATCGGATAATAAAAATACCAAACGTTACGTTACCTCAAATACCTCAAAACGGGAAAGGTTCTTTACGTTTTACTGCTAAATGGGAATGTGATGGAGCATCTGGACATAGTAAATACAATATTATGGCAGTATTGACACGTTATCGCCTCAGTACCCTACCCGACGCACAAACGCAACATTTGCGTGTTTGTTATCACTAGACGGTTTTCCCAGAGTACTATTTGTGTTATCGTTTTCACGGTTTCGAGTTCTCTTTCGGCGTCTATAGCGCGGTTCTCTAATTCCTCGAATGTTCTTTCTTTTGATATTAATATTTCCGGATTCAAACCGCGTAGGAAACACACCTTTAAATGCTCTTCCACAGATTTCTTGAAATCTTGACTAATTTCGTTCGTTTTTGGGCGACTGTTATACGCTTCCCTATTTCGCGGACACGATTCGCATAACTTGATACTTTTTCGTCTCTCTTTGACATATGTAAGCGAGTCGAGCTTGTGCTTCGTAAACCGTTTCTCTAGCCATATTTGCTACGTAAAAATTCGACTAAACCCTGTAAAGAGTTAAATACTCTCCCGAGTATGGATCTATGAGCATCGCCATTTAATTTGTTACGTATCGTGTGCACTAAAATAATTTCTTGTGAAGGCGTAATAATGTTGAGCGCTTCTTCACATCCTTTCACGAAATGAGTAAACGCGATATTATCTCCGTCAAAACTAGGTACAGCTTCTAACGCGTCTCTGATTGAAAAATAAACAAAATTTCCGAAATTAAAATCGTTAGATCCTGTTGTAATTGGAGTACATTGCGATTGTTCCAGATTTTGCTACTGCTCTTGTAGTTGACGAATAACACGTTTTTGTTGTTGTAGTCTTCGTTATAGTTCGGCGATATCGAGTTCAGTTGCCATGGTGGTATCGTCCGTACCGAAATTTTTTTCTGGCGGAGGAGTACGTATTACCTTGCTCATAGATAAAACTTTTACACCCCTTTATCATTTGCGATTTCTTTTCCGCACAGCCTAACTAGGCTGGTGCCAAAGCGTATTTTAAATGCTAAAAAAAAAATTAATAA